AAAAGCTGCGGGGAACTCTGCAAAAAACGCATCTTCGTACGGGCAGCCCGTGCGTTGGCCAATTTTCAAAATTATCATACAGGTGTCACATGAACACGATGCGGTCCATACCCAAAAAATTTTAGCACTCTAGCTGTTTTTGTGGCAGAGTTACGTCAAATTTTACGTGTTTGTGTGTGAGAGAAGAATGACCGTTGTTTTTAAGTATGCCCAAAACAGCCCTGAATCATGCTCAGAAAATATTTAGCGCTCAAGTTGCTTTGGTTGCAGAGTTACATCAAATCTCCTGTGTTTGCACGTGAGTGCGTGAGCCATAAAAGGAACACGAAAGTTGTTTTCATGCCCACCTGCTCAAGCTCACTCGTCGGCCGTACTCAGAAAATTTCAGCCCTCCAGCTGCTTTAGTAACGAAGCTACAAAATCGCCTGTGTCAAATTGCGTGTGCCGACAACTGAGAAGGCGGCGAAAGCTCAGTTTTGTTTTATAAGCATATCAGCGCAGCTTTCTAGCGGCACGTGAAAGCAGAATTTAATTCTTTAAGTCACACGTGGACCAGAAAAGACGCAAATTTTCATCCTTCTAGTTTGTTCGGTTTCCGCAATCACCTTCTCGTGTCAGTACATGAGAGCGACGACATGAAAGTTCATTTTGCGCCTAGGTATAGATTAAGTTGCCAAAGCTTCAGTTTTGTAATCTTCGTAGGACTCGAGATCAGAATATGCAGACAAATGCACACACAAGACAAACGCACAGAAAACCCCTCGACAATATGCGTTTTTTTGCATTGCTGGATGAGCCGAATCTTCGACTTTTAGCAGCGGGCTTTGCCGTTACATCAGTAGCATACAAGAAAGGGTATGAAAATCAATATAAACTGTCAGGTCTCAGAACTGGTTCTTGTGAGTTGCTTCGCCAAAATTTTATTTCTTTTTTTTAATCACCACATTCTAAAAACTAGGTGTATTATACTGGAAAAATTGGTATTACAGCGGCTAATAATTGCATGAGAAATGGGCCATTTTTTTGGCGTCTTGACTTGCTAAGTGAGTGCAAAGTGGTACGAAAATGTTCCTTGAATGAAAAATAAAAACGTACAGTCACAAGAACTCTTCGGTGCCTTCTTGCGCTAAAGAATGTTATTGAGTCAAACTTTGACGGTCAAATCTTTTTCCTAGTTCTTCGCTTCTTGCAACCCATATGGTAAAGTTTTTGTTTATTGGGCAGGAAGGAAAATGCCGCTTTTGGATCTTGGCAAGAATGCATTTTTTGGTGGATTCATTATTTCATTTGAAAGGATTTCTATTCAGTTTTGATTGCATTGGTCGATACCCCAAACGGACCACTTAACCATGGATACCTTTATAACATATTCTGTCGAAGGCACGATGTACTCGTATTCACCAATCGTGAATATCATTGATGGCAGCCCGCCAGTCTGCAGCACCGAGCAGTCAAATTCGTAAACTCCTAGCCATGGATTGTAACTAGCGCCCACTTGATCGGCAACCTCATAGAACACATTCTGCGGCATTATAAGCCAGGAAGTTCCCGTATCTGAGATTACTTGCTGCCATTTTCGCAAAGTGAATTTACCTACTGAAAATCTGCAAAATGATACAAAAGACGTATTTGAATCCGCAGTTTTTAGTTCTGATTACTAATAGTTTTAGATGAGAACCATGCGCCCGCGGAAATAGAAGCTAATTTTTTCCAAGTTTCTTCGATTGGGTTGCAATATGTTTTTTTCAGAAAACGGAAAGACTTCTAAAGCAAAAAACAAACTTCAGGAAACAAGCGTCTTTGGTGCAAAATCTACTTAATCAAACTCAGTGTAGTGCGGGCTTTTGGTCTACCATATCATTTACCGAAACGATTAGAACAGTCCGTCTATCTTTTGAAGTCTTTGACGTTTCTGATTTGTCGAACACATCCCAATTTACTCTGCCATATTTCAATTGCTCTCATTCCCAATTCATCGCCTACACGATGATTATGCAATTAGTCGAAAGCGCATCGGCTGCCAATGCGAAGATACGTTTTTATTTGCATTGTTCACCTACAGGTTTTCATTGCTTATGGCACAGTTTTTTTCGG